TAGTAACAAGGATGGGGATTCACAACTTCGAACCCCCTAAATACTACATACAAAATGTCCACAAGAATTTTGAGGACCTCGCAGTAGGATTTTTATGCCAGACTATGGAAAAAAGTTCTCGGTGAAGGGTCGCTCCAGCCTCCATGTCACAAGCTACCCACTAACTGTGTCCACTTTGCACAAGAAACGGAACAGCCCCGAGGCTTTTTCGCGCATCAGGGAGAAACCTGGCTTGGCACCATGAGTTCATGAGGGATAAACCTCAAGCATCATGTGATTAAATGTTCCACAAGTTTGTTACCCAGTATCACAGGAGTAAGCCATGACCTATCTCACTAGGGGAGTTCACTGCCAAACAGCAGAATATCAGTAAGTCATTCCTTGACTTTGTCAAAAGATTTAAGAATGCTGCTTTCCAAGTCGTTGAGTGCCAACTCATCGATCAAGTGAAGATTGCCTTAATATTAGAGAATGCCACCCTAGATCTGAACTTTTCTTTCAATCATAGTGGCGTGCCCCTCACCATTATCTTGATGATGGAAAGAGTCTTACTCTATGAAAGGCATTCGGCTAGTGATCGGCCCTTGGAAAGTCAAGCGCAAGCTAACCCACACAAAAACACTAGGATAAACCTTTGCCTAGTGGCTAAATCAATGAAATAAGGATCAACAAGTCAAGTTTACAATCCAAGTCAGAGTCTTGCACAAAATGACCTTAGAACATGGTAAATGAATCTTCGTATTCAAGGCGCATGGAGACAGCTCGCCCAACAAATTTACACCTTTAGAGGAGCCACTAGGTGATATCCTACAAATAACATCAAGTATAAGGTTCTCTAACTACCTGCAACTAGGGGCCCTCCATTTGCAATCAAAGATTAGTCCAATTACTAGTGATTAGGGACCCTCCATTTGAAGTTTACACGAACAGAGGAACCAATGGGCGAGACCCCACAACTATTATTCAAGTATAAGCTTGTCCAACTCCAACCACTTGTGAATAGGGACACTGCATCGCCCTGAAATGCCCCCATTAACTATCAAGAACCCCCATGTCTTATGACTCGACCATTTATCGACCAAAGCAATCTCCCCATGCTTGATTTGAGAGGCTTAATAATCAATAACAGTACCCTGATTGTATGTGTGGAAGACAATGTTGTAATAGATAATTGCACAAAGAAATTCAGCAACTCAAGACTGTTCTGGCAAGGGAGATTGAAATTAAAGATCTAGGTCCATTGAAGTACTTTTTTGGGATTAGAAGAGGCGAGGTCTAAGGGGGAATGTTTATCTTTCAAAGGAAGTATGTGATAGACCTTCTTAGAAATGAGAAAGCTTAGGTCTACTGATACTCCTGTGGAACAAAGTACAAATTGGATAACCAAAGGGATAAAGTTCTCAAAAATGTGCGTATGTTTCAAAGATTAGTGCGCAAGTTGATATATTTTTCACTTACACATGTAGACATTTCATATGCTATGAGTGTGATTAGACAGTTCACACATGCTCCACGAACAACTCATCTTGAAGCTGCTTAGAGAGTCATTCAATATTTAAAATCATCACATAGTAGAGAACTGTTGTTTGCATGCTAATCATGGAAGCTTACAAGTTGATGCCTATACAAGTGCAAATTATGTTGGTTACATTGTGTACTGGAGATCTACATCAGGTTATTGTACTCTTGTTGAGATAACCTTGTGACCTGGGGGAGAAAAAAGTAATCAGTTGTAGTTCATTCAAGTTCAAAAGCAGAGTAGCAATTCATCGATCATGGTGTGCACGATTCATCATCATCATCAAACCTTTTCCCCACTAATTGGGATCAGCTACACGAATCATCGTCCACCATTTTACTTTATTAAGAGCCATACCCTCAGTGAGGCTATAAACCCTCATATCTTTTCTCATTACTTCCAACCATGTCCTTTTGGGCCTACCCCTTGGTCTTTTTGAGCCTTCCGCTTGAACTAACTCGCACCTCCTAACATATGTTATACTGGGTGTATGCCACATATGGCCAGCCCACCTAAGTCTAGTCTCTCTCATCTTATCACATATTGGTGCCACACCTTAATTATTCTGAATGTATTCATTTCGAATTTTATCCCTTCTTGTCTTGCTAGTCATCCATCTCAACATCTTCATCTCTGCTACACTCATTCTATAGGTATATTGTTTTTTGACCGCCCAACATTCTACCCCATAGAGCATAGCTGGTCTCACAACTGTCCTATAGAACTTGCCCTTCAACTTCAGTAGTATGCGGTGATCACATAAACTTCAGATTGCACATCTCCACTTCGAGCACCCAACCCTAATTCTATGTGCGACATCTTCCCCAATCTCTCCATTTTCATAGATTATCAACCCAAGATATCAAAAGTACGCTTTTTTTGGTATTTCCTGGTCGTCACTATCAATTACTTCCTCATCTCAACTTCTATTATTACTAAGTTGCATTCCATATATTTTGCCTTCATCCGGCTAATTTTAAAACTTTTTATATTCTAGAGCATCCCTTCAAAGTTCTTTGTGTTGACATCGTTTCGAGTCTTATCGATCAAAACTATGTCATCTGTGAATAACATGCACTGTGGTACCTCATCTGGTAGGTGCTTAGGCAAGCCATCCATAACTAAGACAAAGAGGTATGGGCTCAATGCTGACCCCTAATGTAGACCTATTATCACTGAAAATTCACTCGTCTCTCCACTAGTCCGTACACTAGTTAGTGCTCTATCGTAAATATCTCTCACTAAGCCGATGTAGTATCTGGAGACTCCTGTCCTAACACCCACCAAATTAAATCTTGAGGTACTCTATCATAAACTTTCTCTAAATCAATAAAAACCATGTGGAGGTCTTTTCCCTATGCTCTAAACTTGTCAATCAGCTGCCTAAGTAGGAAAATAGGCTCAATTGTTGACCTCTATGGCATAAAACCGGATTAGTTTTCTAATACACTCGTTTTATGCCTTAGTCATTACTCAATCACTCTCTCCCAGAGCTTCATAGTGTCGCTCATAAGTTTGGTACCTCAATAGTTCGTACAATTCTGTATTCTCTTTTATTCTTGTTAATAGGTACCACATTACTTTTCTTCCATTCGTCTGGTATTTTCTTTGTTCTCAACATCTTGTTGAACGGCTTGGTCAACTAGTCAATGCCAATCTCCCCCATGCACCTCCAAACCTCTATCAAGATACCATCTGATCTTATAGCATTTCCTATCTTCATCCTTTCTAAAGCCTCTTTCACTTCTGATATCCATAACTTAATCCTACGAATATATCTATGACCTCCTCCCTTATTTATGACAACAGTTCCTTGTACCGTTATGTTTCTATTGTGTTTGTCATTTAATAATTTTTTAAAATAAACTCTCCACCTTTCATTGACCTCTCCATCCTTCACCAAGACCATGTAATCCTCACTCTTAATGCATTTAATATGGTTCAGATCCCTACAATTTCTCCCTTTCAGTTTTGCTAATTTGAAGTGGTGTGTGCGATTGCTTTGGTTGAAAATGTTAGTACAAGAACTCGGTTTTCTTGTGAAGGGGTCAATGTCCATGTACTATGAAAACAAGGCAGCCACTAGTATACCTCACAACCGGGTCAGCATGATAGAACTAAGCCTATAGATATAGACAAATATTTCAATTGAGAAAGAGTTACTACCAAGAAATTTGGGCATGAGGGATATCGTATGCTCCAGCTTAATGGGGAGTGTTTACATTTCTTTCTATTGCATTCAAGTCTCTAAGGCCTTATGTGTCTTTTCCCCACTTAAAGGACATCATTCTATAATAGAAAAAAAGCAATAATATGTATACTTAATATACACACATACATTAGAAGACAGGGCACATGGGTGATGTTAGAACCCAAAGTGACTCTCTTTATCTCTAAAATTCTCCCTCTCTTTAGATCTTCTCTTCCCTCGTTCTTCTTCTTGTTTTCTACTAACTGGGTCAATCTTGACCTAGACCCGACCCGATCAGGTTCAAAAAAGGACCTCAACCCAGATCCAGCCCGAGTTGGATACAAGTCATCGGGTGTCCAATATTTGGAAGTCATCGGGTGTCCAATATTTGGATCCAAACCAAGACCCATGTCAATCATACCGTCGAGCCGGCAAGTCGATCCAACCCAATTGCCACCCTTGCAAGCAACCAAGAAAATCCATTATGAGATTGGTAAAATGGATAAACATTTCCCTAATAAAGATTTCCAAATCTTAAAAGGTAATGAGATGTTTCAATGATTAAAGTGAAGTCTATGATCCTTAAGAAAGTTTGTGAAAAAATTAAAATATATTGGCTATATTGAATTCCATCTAAACATAAATTGGTTTCCTAAAGATTAAACTGAAGAATGTGTTGTTAGATGACTAAGCTAAAGTAAATGATCGAAAAAAGATTCTTGCTTTTTTTCCCTTTTTACTTGTTAGATAATCCTAACAAGAGATCGACAGTTTCATCATAGTAGAGGTACAGTACAGTGCAAAGGTCATTGACTTTTATTATTTATTAAGGATATCAAATTCTTACATCCATCAAACATGACAAAACATTTTATCTGCTCCAACAACCTAAGTCAATTTGTAAAGAAATGGAACTTTTCCATTATGGTTTTGACTGCTCAAGAATCTAAAGTTCCTGATCTCATACATGTATAAAAAACAGAAACATGATGCACAAGAAAACCAGCTTAAACTAGTTATTCAATAAGAATATTCACTCAAAACTATTTTGGAAATTAAATAATGAGAAATGATCCTATAGGACCCTCCCCCACCCATGTGTGTAGGACCCCAAAGGATCACCATTAAATTTGGCACAAATCTATAGAAAAGTCAAGTCCCACACCCATGTGATAACTTTTCTAGAGATTCGTGCCAACTTTAATGGTGATCCTTTGGGGTCCTATACACATGGGTGGGGGAGGGTCTTATAGGATCGTTACTCTTAAATAATAAATAAAAATAATTTACCTCCAATGGCTCACCGGATGCTTGCCCCTTTAGTCTTGTATCTAACATGGCATCAGTTGAAAGAGGAGACATTATCTCTGATGCCAAAGGTGCATTCAAAGCATCATCGGGTATGGGTATCGCTATGAACTCAAAATAACTCTTCATGTATTCACTTAATGAAAGGCAACTTTCTATTGTACTTTTCTCAGTGCCTGGTGCTTGTCCATTAATTTTGTCTTGCCCATCCATGCTTCCAAGTGAATATTTCATTATGCAATGCCCCATGAAAGAGTATTTGCTTCCTACAGTGGAAGCAATAATATAGTTATGCATAGAAAATATCAAAATGGTGAAAGTGAACCCATTAACTAGGATAATTAAGAAACCTAGCCAATCTGGCGTAACCCACATCATGCAATAGACCAGCATTGAACTCATACAATATACTCGACAAGAACAAACTAGCTAATGGTATAATGGAAATAAGCATTCCACAATATTAAAATGGTGAAGCACAACTTGATCATATTAGTGACTATGAATGCCTATGCCTATAAAGCAACATATAGTGATGGATAGGGAATCAGATATGGAAGATTCTATGCAAATTCAACCAGCAATCTTTGATAAGAGTTAAATTTTCCAACCAGGTCAGGGCACAAACAATACATATCTCATGTTGCAAGGTTTTATGCACACACGCATGCATGCACACACAAGAACAAGAGAAAAAGATTGCATATGCCCCTAGGCTAATTCTGTAGAAGTTCAACTCCCCCTCACTAAAGAAATGATGTTCGGAGTATTTGTTTAACACCATTTTTCGCACACACTTCCTCTTGACCTTGAACATTTGCCATTAAAAAAGTCTGAAAAAAAAAATACTCTAAACAATTGATGAGGAGAGAGAAAAATGGATGGACGCTAGCTATCCATTTTGTTATACTGTTAAATGTAGGGTTAGATGTCCTCAAAACCCTTTTATTTCTGGTGAAAGTGGTTATTTGATGTTTTAAGGCCACCACAAAATTTGGGATCAAACAAATGCCTTTTGGAGTTTTTTTTTTTTTTTTTTGGGGTTGGGGAGAGAGGACCCTATCAAAAAAAGAGTGCATAATGTAGATGACTGAAATGATGTCGAAGAAAAATTCCTTTATAGTCCGTCTCAAGGGGAAGGCTCTTTCAAATATAATCAGCACCAACCAATTATAGGAGATCTTATAATAGGCCAAACCAAGTACCACAATATTGCACATCAGTTAAGTTTTCACTGGTTACATGGGAGACAATAGCTACCAGAAACAGGAAGTCTAAGAATACCAATACTCAATACGAAAATTCTTTCAGGGACAACAGCGTCCTACACCAGCTCAATTCACAATTTGTTTACCAATACCAACCAAGAAACTACAGTCCATGCATGTCATTTGGTTTTAGAGCCCAGAATATTTCAATGATCTAAGTCATTCCTACTAGATTGTGTAAGGATAACTTCCTGCATTTGAAGCTCAAAAGTCACATAGGATAAGTATAAATAAAGGCAGCTTGGCAGCTTCTGGTTCATGTTAGAGCAAATAAACCAGCAAATATAGATATATTTATTGATACAAGAAAATGTCAGTAAAATTCAATGAATAGGGAAGCAAGTATAGAAGCTATAAAGGGGACATCAAATTAATATGTAAAAATCATATTAGAGTGGATTTCAATGGAGACTGTGAATACAAGCATGTTGTGCATCTAAGGTATTTTAGATTGATGGCATAAGGCTTGCAAGAATCAACGCAGATCAAAACATGTTTCAAAATTAATTCAGCAGTAATCCATTGACAAATCCAAGCTGGATTTTTTCTTTTTTTTCTTTTAATGTGCTGCTAGTGTAGTAATCAAAGACCAGTTTTACAAGCTTAATAAGTTAAGTAACACTAGTAAACTCAGTAAATGAAAACACCAATTCCTCCGCAAGGAACAGAACATCATCAGACAGAAAATGAGAAAGACATTTAAGCAAACTAATGAACTCATCAAATAACTTAAATTATGCGCTCATTTTTTTAAGTAGAAAGAATATAAAAATAAAATAGTTACAATACAAAATTCATAAAAGTAGGATTAATAAGAAAAGTAAGCTAAACATAACTAGAAATGGAAGTAAGAAACATTAAACAAGCAACAAAATGAAAATTGATATAAGCAAAATAATAAGAAAGACTAAAGCCTGTAAAACATAAACAATGGGAACATAAAAAAGAACAACAAAATAAATAAGAAAGTTTTCATAAAAAGGGTAAAAGAAAAGATAATAAACAGTTCTCTGAACTCTGAAGAAGTGAATACTTATAAGAAAAGAAATTACGCATTAAAGTTAAAAAAGCATAGGAATTTAGAAGCAACAAAATTTTGAAAATAATAACCAACAACAAAATAGAGGCAAACTCAATCTATTAGATGAAATTCACAACAAACAAGTTTTTATGTCCTAATAATATATACAGACTATACGAAAATTAATGGAGATAAAGATTTCAAAGCATACAAATTTGTGTATGTTCTTATTTGTACCATCGTAGATTACAAACATCGTAATCCAATTCTCTTTCTTTTCAAGAACTTTGTATACTTGGAAATTAACTCATTCCCTTTTTCCAACAGTCCCGTTTGCTGTCAATACGTTTTCTTTTTCTAATCGATAAGGAAATAAGAACACATGAAATTTAGAAAGGAAAATGGTGTTTCAGTTGATTTTAGACAAAGCAGTATCAAATAGAATGAAATTGACTATTAGTTTTATTTAAGAACGAATGAAACAGAGGATTCCCCAAAAACAACTTCCCTCAAATAAGCACGACCAAAACACATTTAAAAGTTAAAACAAATAAAAAGGAAATAATGGAAGACAAAATGAAAGAGAAGAAATAGGGAGGATTAAAAAAAGAAAAAAAACAAAAAAAACATCAATGAAAAAACGATTTGCTGGCCTAACAAAAATAAAAGCAAGTGAAATATCACCAATAATAAAATGACACTACAGATATAAATCATGAAAAAAATCACATTTCAAGGGAAACCAGAGAGAGAGCAGAAAAGCTAGAAAAAAAGAAGAAAATGAACCAAGGACCATTCAATGCAACAAATGAAAACCTATCCATCTGTTTTACATTTCATGAAAAATTATCCATCTGTTTTTCATTTCATGAAAAACTATCCATCTGTTTTACATTTCATCTCCTCTAACTATTGATTTAATGAAACAATGCAGTGCCAAAAAAACTAGATAAAAAAAATCAAAACAAAACCACTCTCATAAAGAAAGAGGAGAAGGAAACCAACCGAACTATTCTCATCAATTCTGAGTAGAATTTCTTTTAACGCCGGTTCTCGTATGAAACCGATCGATTTTTCTCAATTTGTTCAGAAAATTTTTATTGATATCCAAGAAGAATGGCAGGTTTGGGGTAAATATAGACAGAGAGGAGTGGTTAGAGAAGTGGAATGGGGTGTGATAGAGGAGACAAGGATGCGTAGCCAGCAATATGTTCTAAGAGAGAAAGAAATACAGAGGAAGAGAGAGAAAGGGAAGAAATACAGAGGAAGAGATGGACAAAACAATGAGAGAGTGGGGGACAAAACTATGACAGTGATCTTAGAGAGGGAAAGGGAAGAAATACAGACGAATTGAGCAAGATATTAGAGAGAGAAAGGGAAGAAATACAGGGGAAGAGATGGACAAAACAATGAGAGAGAGTGGAGGTACAATGCTCCAATATCGGTTCGGCTAGAGAGAGAGAGGAAGCAGAGGTGCGGTGCGCGCGTACCCCATGCAATTTGCGAAGACAAACAAAAGTACTAAAATACCCCCCATATGTTAACTAGGAGGACCTGACAGACGGAGGCCAAATTCGTCAATTTGGCCTACCGTGCCCCTTCACTGGAGAATAGTAGACGTCAGACTTTAACAACCACACGATTGGGAGGGAGTTCGATCCCTTGGTTTTTGCTTTTGGGAAAAGGTCGGTCAGATGACATCGATTCATGACATCACCTTCTTAATGATTCACCGGGAGATAAGTAACATGGAACATTGACCATTGGAGATGTATGTTTATCGCCGTCCATTGTTCTTATGATTCATCCGGATATAAGTAACATGGATCATTGACCATCGGAGATGTATGTCTATCTTTGTCCATTCAATGGATGGATGGAGATGGAAAAAGTGGAGTATAGCACTTGTGTCTATTCTTTTGGTAGGTCCCAATTTCTACATAATGTGCCATCCATTTAGTTAAGAATGGGTTTTTATGAGTAAGAGGACTCATGTGTACACGTGCGGCCCCCGTCTAGAACTCACCATAAGGTAAGAAGGGATTTTTAATCCAATATTTTAAAGGACAATTTTATATAGAGCCGAGGTTCTAAACAATTAAATTAAAGCCTACATCAAAATTTTCATTAGAAGAGGTTGTTTTGACGCCCAAATATCCTCAAATTGATCATCTCGACATCAAGATACATGGACATGAGAAAAATTTTGATTTCAAGTTTTGGAAATAGTGTATTTTGTAATGCATTTTTGGACCGTCAATTTTCAAAATTTTCAAGGTTTTCATAGATTTGTCGATCTACACTATTTTTGAAGCTTTAAACTTTATACATAAAGATGAAATATATTTTAAAGATATCACAAAGATTTTTAGTATTGAAATCACATTTCTCAACATATTTGAAGGTTGGTTGTAATTTGATTGCGTAGAGCTTAGGCTCTATACAAACCGCGCCCATATTTTAAGGATAGCCAAGCTTATCATAAAAATCAAAAAAAAAAAAAAATTGAAGGATGAAGCTTATTTGAGGACTAGGCTTTATGAAAACAAAATAAAGCCTGACCTCAAATCCCCATATGGAAAGCACTTTCGGTAACGGAATCTTCATGATGGATTTAAAATCAATTTTCAATATAAAAAATAAAATTTGAAACTCAAAAAATTGTATAGATCTCATAGATCTATAAACTCTTATATTTAGAGTGACATGAATGGCCTAGATAATTTGTTATAATATACACAATTTTTAGGTCTTAAAATCCTAATTCTTTTAACAATCATAATGTTCAAGCCGAGACGATCAATGTAAAGGTTTTGCAATGTTTGAATTGTAATTTTTGATGAGTTATGATGTGAGGCTTTATTTATTTTGATAAGGTAGCAGCCCTATCAAACCATTTACCAAAATTGAATTTTAGAATGTGCTTTTTTTAAAGATATTTTTGGCACCATCCATATCTAATTTAACACCATGCGCATTTCACAACATCCATCTTAAAGATGGACCACTGTTAGAAAAACCCGCTGGAACCGGAACCAGCCGGCTAGCTCGAAACCGCTAGGGTTCCGAGTCCGGTTAGGGGTGATTTTGGGGTTCTAAGGACCCAGGGTATCACCCCATAAAATGTCCGGACCAAAACCAGCCGGTTAGGGGTCGAACAGGCCATATTTATCTCTAACCTACTGGTTTTGATATAAACAAACCGGTTTTCTGTTAAAACGGTGTTTTTTGGCAAAAAAAACCGGCAAAATGAAATAATTGCCGTTTTTGAAATGGAGCGCGTTATTTGTAGCATGACTTGTGAATCAAATTTTCTTGCTTTTTTTTATTCGATTTTTTTGCCATTTTTGGCCTCTTTGGTGGTTTAGTGTTGTAAACCATTATTGGTGGTTTAGTGTTGTAAACCATTATTGATTGTCTATAAAATAACATAATTGCCATCACAGATAAAAACAACAATAGTTCTTGTGGATTGAAGTGGTGGATTTTTTAACCTTTTGAAATTTATACAATTTCACCATTTTCTTCTTCAATAGGTAACAACTATTGATGAAATTTGAGAGTTTTGAATCATAATAGAATTGGTTCCCATATCTCTGTTTCAATTTGTTCAACAAACAAGATATAGGGAGTTGATTTTGGCATTAAAATTTGCTCGAAGAACCTGTATTCGAGCTGCTCGAAGAACCTGTATTCGAGCTGCTCGAAGAACACTAATGTGATCTGCCATTTCGTTAATTTCATCTTTAATAGGTAACTATTATTGATTAAAGTTGAGGGTTTTGAGTCATAATCGAATTAGTTACATATCCATGTTTCAATTTGTTAAAAAAACAATATATTTGGGGTTGATTTTGGCCTCAAAATTTGATGCTCGAAGAACTCATGTTCGATCCAAAAAATAGATTTTGGATCAATTTACTGGTCTTTTTTTATCAAATTGATTTATGGATTTTGATAATCAAGGCTTCATCTGTCATATAAAATAGGTATGTTAATTTATAATTGAGTCAAAAAATTTATATGAATTTATTTCTTGCTTGATGTCATGAAAATTTCATAGGTCTAAAATTTCTGTGATTTTTAAAATTAAATAAAAATACTAAATGTTTTTTTGTTAAAATTAAATAAAAAGCCTTTACAAAGATTTTGTATTGATTTGTTCGATTTTCTAAAGATTGAAGGTCGTTTTTGCTTGAAATGTTGCTCAATTTTAGGGATTTTTGAGAAACCAATTTTTCAAAAAAAAATTAATTTTACTCAATATTATTAAGTTAATAAAATTATTTTCTGAATATTATTTTTTACAAATTTATTTTACTCAATGTCCGTCTTACTTTTGTCTTCCTTTTTTTTTTTTTTTTTTTTTCTTTTTTTTAAGTGCATGATATAGTTATGTTGGTAATAATGGAAATGGGATTGTAATTGTAATCGTTGTAATAATGGATTTGGGATTGTAATTGTGTAATGGAAATGGGATTATAATTGTGTTGGCAGAAACATTTACAATTTCAAATTTTTTTATTATAAAAAAAATTTGATCTTGCTTTTAAATAATTGTCTTGGATTCTGATATTTACTTAAGATCAATAATGCTCAATTGCCTCTTACGATTTTTTTATTGTGTCATAAGGACTGCTGATATAGTAGTTTACTTTTCTGCTCAATAGATGAATGTAATCATATTTACTTAAGATCAATAATGCTCAATTCCTTCTTACCATTTTTTTATTTTGTCGTAAGGACGGTTGATATAGCAGTTTACTTTGCTGCTCAATTGTTGAATGTAATAATGAACGGTTAATATGACTACTTCAAAACTTTTGTTGTAATAGAGAAACAAAGAAAATACATTAGAAAAACACAAGAGTACCCTGACCTCCCTTACCACTCTCATTACTGTTAGCCATTGTTAGTTGGACTTTGTAAATCTATCAATTAAATTAATGTGAAATTATAAATTGTCTTGCATATCTCCCTAGTATTCATGTATTAATTTTTGTAAAAAGTTGTTTCAATTTTTTTGGTAAGATAAATGTAGGTAATAAGGTAATAAACACTTAATCTAAGTTTTTTTTTTTTAATGTTTTTGTCCTTTTTTAAAAAAAAAAAATCCACCGGACCAATTAGTCCAGTTAACCGTCTTAGTCCGGTTCCGGTTCTAACCGCTCTCAGCCTAATGTCCGGTTAACCGTTCCGGTGCGATTTTGCAAACACTAAGATGGACATTGAAGAGTCCACGGGCTCTTGACCAGCACACTCACAGAACACTTTTCCTGGTGACAAAACTCATGGCCACATTAAGGGTGCAGTTGGCATACGGATGCATTCGCAGCTGTAGAGGTAAGGTGCCCTAGAGGTAAAGTGCGCCTTCAAATTTTATCATGGTATATAATTTTGATGTAAAATGTTCTTAGGATTATCTCAAAATTTAATTTTATATCTAATTATAAAATTTTAAATTTCAAAAAGTGGTTAAAATCAAGTAGATCTATAAACATATGAAAATCTTGAAAATGGATCGTGTAGATAATATGTTGTAAAATATACTATTTCTGATATTTAAAATCTTTTTATTTTTTATTATCATACATCTCGATGAATCAAAGGGCTTTTCAACTTAAAACTACCTTTTCCGATGGAGTTTTGAGGTCCGATGGAGTTTTGAGGTGCATTCGTAGTGGATAAAACTCGCCGCATGCATTTTGGAAGAATGTGTTTACTATGCTCCCGCATGGGCATGTTGTATGCATAATCCTTCAAGTAGAAGATTAATTTGGAAAGATTTTTTATTCAAAATTTTAGAAATTACTTAAAAATCACTAGATGATTAATTGAAAAGAAAAAAAAAATAAATTGAATTTTGAGTTTTTTAACTCTTAGACCTCACCTTTCGATGGTTTCTACTCTCCATTGGGACTCTCTTTGCAAGCTCACAAAGAACGCAAATTCGAAATTTTCTTTTTTGACGGTATCACATGGGTTGAAGAGATCGTACCCCAAAAAAGACTATATATTATTGACCTCAACAACTTATGACATGACTCTATCTCTCTCTCTCTAAAACTCCATCTCTCTCACACATCATCCTCTCTCTCTCTCTCAAAACTCCATCTCTCTCACACATCATCCTCTCTCTCTCTCAAAACTCTATCTCTCTCTAAAACCCAAATTCTATCTCACTCTCTCACATCATCGTCTCTCTCTCTCGAAATCCATCTTTCCCTAAAACTCATACTTTATCTCTCTCTCTTTAAAACTTCATCTCTCTCTAAAACCCAAACTCCCATCTCTCTCTCTCTAAAACTCCATCTCTCTCTCACACATAAGAAGGTGTGCTCGTGTTCGAGCTTAAGCTAAACCCCTTGGTTGGTAAACTCACCGAGAAGCAAAAAGAGAGATGGAGTTTGAATATGGTGTCATTTTAGTATTTGTTCGGGTAAAAAATGTATGGTCAAAAGGGTCTAGGGAGTGTAAGA